TCAGACGGGTAACAACAGAGGAGGAGAAGGCTGAGGTACTCCACTTTGCCTCAGTCTTCACTGGCAACCTCTCTTCCCACACCTCTCAAGTGTTGGCCTGACATATTGCCAAGCCACTGTCCATGATATCTGAAAAGTCCTGGCAGGACTGGAGCACTGGTAGGGACCCCCCCGCCCCGCCCCCGGATTTGTCCCAGTTATCAGCTCCCTGTTTTGATGGAGCTGGGAGGAGCTAGAGAATGCCCACTGGATAACTACCAAGGTGCAGGTTGGGGCCTTAAGCAGATGCCCTGCGTGTAGGGGCTGAGAGACGTGGGCTTCTTTGGCCCTTTTGCCCAGTGGCGGAGAGGCTCAGGGCAGAAAAAAAATAGCCTGAGATTGCTTGAAAGGTGGTTTCAGAGATGGTGGAGGTTTTCTACAAAGAGGGAAACATCATGAGAAAGAAAACATGCCACAAAGTGCAGCTTGGGAGGTGAGACTGGTCATGAGAAGAAAGAAATGTCACTTCAAGTACAGTTCTGTGGTACAACAGGCCACCCAGAAAGAGTCTGGAGTAGCCAAAGTTGTGTATTTCAATGAACAGTCTGCAAGGGTGGAGAGATATCAGTAAGGGTAGGAAGACGCTCAGGTGAGACCAAGCTTGGTAAGCAGGGGGGATGTCAACAGCCTGCAGGAGAAGAGGTGCAAGTGTGGGCCACAGTAGGACATCCTGTGGTGGAGACAGCTGGGAGCACTGGCAAGGCTGAAAGCCCCCAGCACAGCCAAGGTCTTTGTCTCATGGGCTGTGGCTGTTCTTTCTGCAACTGGTGCCCATGAGGAGACATCATTAGAGCACCAGGACTTTATCACTTCCTTGTCACAACCCGTGAGCCTGAGAAAGATTGTATCGTCCCACTCTAGGCATTGCACATCCTCACATCATACTGCCCCAGGAAGAGCCCTGAGCAATGTGTGAGGGACAGGATTTCTCCTCCCAGGAGTTTTGGGTCAGGGTTTGGCCCTTTGACTTAATATAACACATCCAGGTTTACTCAACATCAGAGACATCTTTTCCTTTCCTTTGCCTACCTGCCATCAGCGCTTCCAGTTTTCTGCTCTAACCAGCCCCTGGGGAGGCTTTGTAGGTAATGTCCCTCAGTGGGACCCATTAATGCTCCAAGAAACTTTGGAGTTTGAATCTGACTTTGACTTCTTGAGAGGTTTCTTCAAATTCCTCTCAGCATTTGAGGTTCATGGACTCAGCATCAAACCCACCAGAGGGGTCATTAAAATACCTTGGGCTGGCCCTCTGCTGCTGAGCTCCTGGGACATTGGGAGCTCATGGCAAGCATCAGTGCTGCAGAGAGACAGCTGTGCCCAGGAGCAGCTCTTCTGCAAAGCACAGCAAGGCGGAGGGCACTGCCTGCAGGCACTAAGGAGGATGCCTAAGAGCTCACTGAAGGAGAAATCTTCCGAGCCCGACACGGTAAGTCTCTGGGTGCAGGGCAACGCAGGTGTGGTTCCTGGAGGCATCTCCTAAAGCTGTCACAATCCACAGCTCATGGGATCTGTAAGGTGGACTCCCTGTCCAGAGGCTCTTGTTAGGCAAGTCTGAATCTCTGTGAATCCAGGTGTGCAGCCAGGTACCCGGGGCTGTCCTTCAGAGCAGGGTCCCTGCGCCCCAGGGACCTGTGTGCCGGGACAGGGACTCTGCCGCCTGCCAGGATCAGCACTTAGCCTGCCCGGGAACTCCCACAGTGCTGTGGGGAGAAGCTGTGGATGGAAGGAGGGACCCCCTGGAATGGCAGGGCAGGGTCCTTCTGCTCTTGAGAGGGTGTTGTGCAGGCCAGGGTTATTCACAGCTCCAGACAACCCCTGGGACATTTCCCAGGACACTTTTCAAGAAGCACATCAAGGCAGGGTCCTACATGGAAGGAGTGGTGCTTTCCGGGGTTGGTCCTTCCAATTTTCTGCTGTGATGGTAGGAGGAAACAGTAATGGAACTGTCAAGTTTGCACAAGAGACCGAGTCTCCTACAGCATTTTAGTGAGTTATGAACAGGTTTTTCAAGGCACCTGATAAAGTAACTTCACCCTTTCTTCTGGATGATCTGGATAAGCTGGAGTGGTGGGCTGAGGTCAATTGTATGGGGTTTAACAAGGCCAAGTGCTGGGTCTTGCACTTGGGTCACAACAACCCCATGCAACGCTACAGGCTTGGGGAGGAGTGGCTGGAGAGCTGCCCGGCGGAAAAGGACCTGGGGTGCTGGTTGACAGCCGGCTGAACATGTCAACATGTGCCCAGGTGGCCAAGAAGGCCAACAGCGTCCTGGCCTCTATCAGCACTAGTGTGGCCAGCAGGAGTAGGGAAGTGATTGTGCCCCTGTACTCGGCCCTGTTGAGGCCGCACCTCGAATCCTGTGTTCAGTTTTGGGCCCCTCACTACAAGAAGGATGTTGAGGTGCTGGAGCGTGTCCAGAGAAGGGCAACGAAGCTGGTGAGGGGTCTGGAGAACAAGTCTTATGAGGAGTGGCTGAGGGAACTGGGGTTGTTTAGTCTGGAGAAGAGGAGGCTGAGAGGAGACCTTGTCGCTTTCTACAGCTACCTGAAAGGGGGTTGTGGTGAGGTGGGGGTTGGTCTCTTCTCCCAGGTAACCAGTGATAGGACAAGAGGAAATGGCCTCAAGTTGTGCCCGGGGAGGTTTAGATTGGATATTGGGAAAAATTTCTTTACTGAGATAGTGGCCAAACATTAGAACAGGCTGTCCAGGCAGGTGATGGAGTCACCATCCCTGGAGGACTTTAAAAAATGTGTGGACATGGTGCTTCAGGACATGGTTTAGTGGGCATGGGGGTGTTGGGTTGCCGGTTGGACTTGATGATCTGAAACGTCTTTTCCAACCTTAATGATTCTGTGATTCTGCCTGCAGAAAGCATTAAGATCACCTTTTTTGTCCCTTCAGGGTTTAAGTGCTCTTATCTTTAGGACTTGCCAACACAGAGCTATCCCTGGGCAGGGCCCTGCTGCTGGGAGGTGTCTGCAGGGCAGAGCTGAACACACAGTGGATGGGATGGGGTCTGTGAGCACTGACAGGAAGGAGAGGGGGGGACAGAGAAACAGCTCCTGGCAGGGACAGCTCCAGGCAGCAGAGGCATGGTCAGGGGGTGGGAGGAAACTGCAAACAAGCCCTGGGGTAGGCTGCCTCTTTTGGTCCCTCACTGTTGATGTCTTCTGGGCCTTGTCTGCTGAGCAATGATCTCTCAATGATCTCAATGACTCTCCCTTTAGGACATCCCATCTTTAGGACATCTGACTGTCTGCTTTGCCTGTCCTGCTGGGCAGAGCCCTCCCGTAGGATCCTAGGGAGCACTGAGCTTTCCCTTGGAGGTCAGTACTCTCCCATCAGAGTCCTTTGCTTCTCTCTGTGAGGGGTTGTGTCCTTCTCTCTTGATCACACCACCACCTCTGGGCTGGGAAAGAGAAGAATTTGCAGATCTGCCCTTTGAAACAGACTCCCCTGCTCTCATCAGAGCCTAGTTGGGGGGTGGGGGAGGCGGGGTTTAAAGGCAAATTTGTGTGTGAATTCATCTTCAAGGCACCACCAGCGAATGCACAGGGCAGCTGGGTAACAGAGTAATGGACACTACAGCTCTCCTGACTGTACTAAGCTCCAAAGAGTTGAGCCCTTTTTCCTGTCCTGTCAAGACTCTTCACAATTTCAGTCAAAAAATGAGTATTTCTACCCCTTAACAGAACACTCCCCAGATGTGATTGTGGAAAACTAAAAACACAGACAAAACTATTATAAGGACATGCTAAGCCTCTCATCTGCAGCCCACACTCTTACGAGCTATGAATGCAGATATTAAACTTTTCCTTTAAAGTAGATTACATCTGACATCGTCTGTGAACAACCGAGCTCTCACAAACCAGCTCCACGTACCCACTGCAGCAAAGCTGACGACTCAGCTCCTCACAACACATTCAGCCAGCACAAAACAGAGAAAGGAAATGGTTTTCAGCTGGGGGATATTTCTATGAAAAAATGCAGTGGCTCTGCTCAGAGGAGTCTGTCCTAACTTTCCCCTGTCCTTTCCTTGTCTGAACAGGTCCCCATGCCAAGAAATAACAAATGTGTAACAGCAGCTCCATCAGTGAGTTCCTCCTCCTGCCATTTCGGGCTCTTCCTGGGCATCTACCTGGCTGCCCTCCTGGGCAACGGCCTCGTCATCACCGCCATAGCCTGCGACCACCGCCTCCACACCCCCATGTCCTTCTTCCTCCTCAACCCCTCCCTCCTCGACCTGGGCTCCATCTCCACCACTGTCCCCAAAGCCATGGCCAGTTCCCTCTGGGACACCAGGGACATCTCCTACTCGGGGTGTGCTGCACAGGTCTTTCTGCTTCTCTTCTTCCTTGGAGCAGAGTGTGCTCTTCTCACCATCATGGCCTATGACCGCTACGTTGCCATCTGCAAGCCCCTGCACTACGGGACCCTCCTGAGCAGCAGAGCTTGTGCCCACATGGCAGCAGCTGCCTGGGGCAGTGGGTTTCTAAGTGCTGTGCTGCACACAGCCAACACATTTTCAATATCGCTCTGCCAGGGCAATGCTGTGGACCAGTTCTTCTGTGAACTTCCCCAGATTCTCAAACTCTCCTGCTCAGACTCCAACCTCGGGGAAATTTGGCTTCTTATATTAGGTTCCTCTGTAGCTTTTGTGTCTTTTGTTTTCATTGTGGTGTCCTATGTGCAGATCTTCAGGGTTGTGTTGAGGATCCGCTCTGAGCAGGGACGGCACAAAGCCTTTTCCACGTGTCTCCCTCACCTGGCCGTGGTCTCCCTGTTTGTCAGCACTGGCATATTTGCTCACCTGAAGCCCCACTCCATCTCCTCCCTACCTCTGGATGTGGTGGTATCAATTCTGTACTCAGTGGTGCCTCCAGCAGTGAACCCCCTCATCTACAGCATGAAGAACAAGGAAATCATAGATGTCCTGCGGAAACTATTTCAATCTGATCTACTTCCTATCAATAAGGTGCCCATTATCCCACTAGGGCTCCCACTGTATTTCAGGAAAAGCCAGCACTAACTTTTCTTCATGTGTGTCTTTATTTTTCCTTTGTGGTTTGTGGGGTTTTTGTTTTGTTTTATGTTTTATATATGTGATATTTTTATTCTTGGCCTCCAACCTGCTTTTTCTTCACCCAAATACTGCTTGTACATATGGATCCAGGCTCCCTGTTTAGATAAATTCAATAGATAATTTATTGTGGGAAACTATTTGTCTCAGTGCCCATCTTTCTCAGCTCAGCATCCCAGGGGGGGAACTGTCAGGGACCTAGAGCACCCTTCTTGGTTGCACATATCCACTCAGAGAGCAAATGGTCTTTGATTTACTTGCCTGGCACTGTCCCACCTGTAGTGGTGCCGACGGCAGATACCATCCTGGAGAGGAATCGAGAGCTGCCAGGAGAAGTCAGGGGATCTCCAGGGACAGCGTGTGAGTCGGAGGTGGGCAGCGAGTGGCACTGCATAAAATGAGTGACAATCCAAGGAGGAGTCTCTTAGAGGAAAAGGTGAACCTGAGGAGACCATAGGCTAATGAGGGCTCTGCAATGCCAGGAGAGGTTGTTTGTAGACAGAAGGCAAAGAGACAGAATCACAGAATCATTAAGGTTGGAAAAGACCTCTAAGACCATCAAGTCCAACCATTAACCCAACACCACCATGACCCTTAAACCATACACTGAAGCACCACGTCCACACGTTTTTTGAATACTTCCAGAGATGGTGACTCCACCACCTCCCTGGGCAGCCTGTTCCAATGCTTGACCGCTCTCTCAGTAGAGAATTTTTTCCTAATATCCAATCTAACCCCCCCGCCCGGCGCAACTTGAGGCCATTTCCTCTCATCCTGTCACTAGTTACTTGGGAGAAGAGACCAACACCCATGTCGCCACAACCCCCTTTCAGGTAGTTGTAGAGAGTGATAAGGTCTCCCCTCAGCCTCATAGCATAAGGCTAAGGACATAAGACTACACATAAAACTAGTGAGTGGTTCATCACACCACCATGGAAATCCTGTGGGGTGGATCTAGTGCTGCCGCCTTCTGCCCTTTCTGCTATTAGAGACACTCCATGGTCCTACCACTGAGCTATCAAGGAAGATGAAAAGGGGCTCAGTAGCAATTGACCCCATCTGGCTTGGTCTGTTCCCTACCCGGACCAGCATGGCCAGTGCAGGGTCACCCCATGGCCCCAGGGCACTACAGCTCCCTCGCTCTGCAGAGCCACACCGCCAGCTTGGGGCCCTGCAGGGAGCATGGGGAAGAAGCATGTTGGCTGGTCAGGCCAACACAGACGCGCTCACCTGGGGGAAGGCTCTCTGCAGAGCAGGGACAACTCTGGAGAAGAGCAAGGGAACATTTCTGTGCCTGAAGGGACGAATCAATAAGAAAGGGAACCCTCTTTCTACAGACCTCCACTCGGTGCAGGCTGCCCTGTCCCCTTGGCCAGGACTCTTGTGCTGGCCTGCGGAGAGGGGCTGACACTGAGCTGGTATGGTCAGTCTGTGGTGGGGATCTCTGAAACTTGAGACCAGTAGTCATGCAGTTTCATTAACCTCTATTTCTTCATGCCATGGTGAGCCTACAGCCCTGGAGCTGAGAGGAGTGGGGGCTGAGACCCCTCTCTACCCACAGCTGCTGCTGTGCCCTTCAGAGGAGCTGTGGCTGTGGGGTGAGTGCCCAGAGCTGTGGTGGGCACTGTTGTGGGGCCAGCCCAGACTGGGATGCTTTTCTGGGATGGGCTGGGGAGCAGGCAGGGGAGGTGGGAAGAGGTGGGGAGGGGCTGAGCTGAAAAGTGCCCAGGAGAGGACAACACCAATGTTTGCTTAGATGTTTGACCATGCAGGGCGAGGACATGTTCCAATGCTTGTGTGGTGCAGAGCCTAGTCTCCTTGAAGGGAGTGAAGACATGCAGGTGCAGGAGAGAGGGAGGCTGGTCTGTGCCCTTGGTGGCATGGACAGACTGAGAAGGTACTCAAGGGCATTCATCACCCCCCAGCCTCTCTTATCGGCCATTTCCAGCACTGGTCAGTCACCTGGTTATTGGTGCCTTTGCTCTGCAGCCATCTTCTGCTTGCTGTTGCTCTTGGTGCATGTGCTGCAGACACAGCCAGCCCTGCACTAGCCTCTTGTCTTGCCCAGAGCTTGCCCAGAGCAGGACTGCCTGCCAACCCTTGTGTGGGACATAGCTGGGGCTGGGCACTGGTTGGCTGCAAAAGAAGGAGGGCTGGTGAGGATGGACACTGAGGTCTGGCATGGGGACTTGTGGTGGAGGAAGTTTCCCCACCCCAAACACACCCTGTCCTGTGCAGTGTCTGATGATGGGGGCTCTGGGGGCATGTGTTGGGCAGGGGGGCTAGGCTGGTGCAGGGATGGGTCACACATGGGAGCCACAACACTATGATCAGGAGGTGGAAGCAAGGCCAGGCTATGAAAGAGGCGGTTAGAAATACAACCTGAGCATGCAGGCATGTGTTTTAGGAAATCCAAGGCTCAGCTGGAGCTGACGCCTGGGGGCTGCAAGCATCATCAAGAGCAAAATGAAGAGCTTCAGTCACTGTGTTTTCAGAAAAAGGCTGAACAAGGAACATGCTGCTGAATGATGGGGCGGGTCCTAACAGCAAACACAGATGAGGCTGAGGCATTCAACGCCTTTTTTGCCCTAGACTTTGCTGAAAAGGTCTCTCAAGGTGTCCACTCAGTGAAAGGCTCAGTGAGGAGGAGAGCAGGTATTGACAGGAACCTCAGGAAATCCCACAGGCACAAGTGCCGGTTTCTGCCCCTGCAGGGGACTCACCCTGGCAATGGCACAGGCTGGGGGCTGCCCGGCTGGGGAGCAGCTCTGTGGGAAAGGTCTTGGTGGGCAGGGAGCTGGACAGGAGGCAGCCACATGCCCTGGCAGCAAGGGAGGCCAGCAGTGCCCTGGGCTGTGCGACCAGGAGCACGGCCAGGAGGTGGAGGGTGGGGACTCTCCCCTTCTCTGTGGCACTTGTCAGACCACATCCAGAACACCGTGTCCAGTTTTGGGAACCCCAGTACTACAAAGGTGTTGACAAGCTGGAGTGGGTTTAGCGAAGAGCCCTGAAGATGATCAGGGGGCTGGATCAGTTTCCCTGTGAGGAAAGGCTGATGAAGTTGGGCTGCTTCAGCCTGGAGAAGGGATGGCTGAGGGGCACCTCACAGCAAGGCGGGCCTGACCTTTTTCGCCATGAAGCTACCCGAGCCTTGGAACAAACATTGGTCACCATGAGAAGCTGTGAAGTTCTTCATCCTGGCAGGCTTTTAAGACCCAGATGGACCAAGCCCTGAGCAAGCAAGTCTGACAGTATACCTGACCCTGTTCTGAGCAGTGTTTTTCTATAGATCTCCCAAGGTCTACTCTGAAGCTAAGTGATCTTATCATCCTCGAATTTCTTGTATGATATCTGATCAGCAGATGAGAGAGCAGATGATTCTGCGACAAGGATCATCCTGTGTTTTATGTGACCAGCAAAGACCAACCAGGTGAACATCTCCACTCCATTGACTGCAAGGGGAGCCTGGGAGGCACTGCCTCAGACAGCTCCACATTACCCCTGAAGCTCATTGCATCCTGCTTTAACCACCTCAAGGGCCATGGTCTGGACCCTGAAGCTCCTACTCATAGGTTTTGGGCATCAGGGAAGCTGAATGTCACCTTGTGATGATTCAGTGCATTCCTGTGGTTTGTGAACAGCAAGGAGTTTCTCTTTCTGGTGCATTCCCATATCACAGGGACTCCACCAGAGATTTTTCTCCCCTTGTTTTAGACAATACCTGTTTGGGTGTCTTTCCACTCTTTCTTGTACAGGCTCCTCTTAGAGCTGACGGGGGTCTTGACCCTTCTCCAGTGTAATTTATCCTCACAGCACTTTAAAATCACTTGATTCCTTCCTTGTCTTGGCCTCCAGGAACTTGATCAGACCCCATCACAGCCTGGGTATTAGCTCTCTCCTGGGCTCTTCTTTCCAGGTGAACCACATCCAAGCTGAATTCCCAGGTCTGGCTCTGTGCCTATTTTGGACCAAGGTAACCTCCTGAAATGATGGGTAAAACCAAGGAAGGATCAATTACCTCTGCAGTACTCCAGTGTTGTCCCAGAAGGCTCTGCAGTTGCACACACCCACCCGACTCTATCTTCATAGAATCATAGAATCATTAAGGTTGGAAAAGACCTTTAAGATCATCCAGTCCAACCATCAACTCAACATGACCATGCCCACTAAGCCATGTCCCAAAGTGCCACGTCTACATGTTCTTTGAACACCTCCAGTGATGGTGACTCCACCACTTACCTGGGAAGCCTGCTGCAATGCTTGACCTCTCTCTTAGTAAAGAAATTTTTCTTAATATCCAGTCTAAACCTCCCCTGGCACAACTTGAGGTGACTTCCTCTTGTCCTATCGCTAGTTACTTGGGAGAAGAGACCAACACCCATCTTAGTGCACACACTATGAACTCTTTTCAGCACACTATGCAAAACCTTCTGTCTAGTAATAATACAACACAAGCTCCTTTTGGGAAGGCTGAGCAGCCAAAACAAACCATGTTGTGTCCGGGCATCAGGGGCAGAACGTAGGACTCAAGGGAGGACTAGGCAAGTGGCCACATGCTGCTTCCTGTCAGGTCTGCTCCAGAGGAGATAGGGATGAGCAGCATGTCCATGAGCATGGCCTGCCCTCCTGCCTGCTTCAGCTGGTCAGGTGGCCCTAACACAGATGTCCTCAGAGCCAGCACAGGGAGAGGTTCCTTTCGCCTGCCTTGCCTGTCTCTTTTTTGACACAGGCAGTTGATGACTGACTAGGGCTGGGCTCTCTTACTCACAAACAAGGCCAAAATGGATGAGGATGTCAATGCTGAGGGCAACCATGGCTGTCGTGACCAACGCAGAAAAAAAAGACAAACAGCAGAATCACAGCCTTGGACTGCAGGAGAGCAGAATTCAGCTTGTTCAAGACCTGCTTGGCAGGATGCTGGAGAGCCAAGATCCATGGAGTCCTCTTGG